TTTTGGTTTGGGGTTTAGGGTTTTTGGTTTGCAGTTTCGGAGTTCGTGCCGCAATGATGGCTGCAGCCAGCGCGAGGTTTAGGTGAAGCTCTGACTGGAGGATGGCACTGCTTCAGCCAAATCCCTGAAGCTACGCCCCAAGGCCCCGGACAACTTCAACCCCTAACTATGCATCAAGAGTCAGCACTGATGTGAGATGTAGTCCGAATCCTGTATTTTCCTCGTCAACCCCTGGTTTCATGTTTTTTTTGTTGGGGGCCCTGAACCCCCCAAGCCTCTGAACCCCTGCACCCTTAAACCTCTGAGCCCTTGGCCCTTAGCTTCGAAACACGAGGGTTTTGCATTTAGGGTTTAGGGTTTAGGGGTTCTGGTTAAGGGTTTAGAGATTAGGGTTTACAGTTAAGGAGTTACAGTTTAGGGCTTGGGGTTTAGGGTTTAGGGCTAGGGATTTAGGGTTTAGGGCTAGGCTTGGGGTTTAGGGTTTAGGGTTTAGGGCATCTCAGGTCATGGTCAATGCCAACAAGTTCGTCATCATTGGCATCGAAGCCTTTGGTATGCATACCAAGGCGCGACTAGGATTCTTCGGCCCAAAACTCCTAGATCCTGAACCCCACCCTAAACCCTAAACCCTAAACCCTAAGCCCTAAACCCTAAACCCTAAACCCTCACCCTAGAACCCTAGACTCCCTAGACCCTCAACCCACTTTGAAGGGTTTGTGCAAGGGGTCGATCCGGGCTCTTGACGGGCTTTGGGGCGGTGTTGGATCTGGGACGTCGGCTGCAGGGGTTCAGCTTATGGTTCTGCGGTATACTAAGGGTTCTGCTGTATCCAAAGGTTATGGAGGGCAGTCTTCGGAAAAGTTGAAAGGCAAAACATAATCCTGGGCTTACAATGCAAGTAGCTGGGAAGCCATCCAGCTGAAAAGCACTGCGTGTGGCCTACACCTAAACCTGACATAAAGTTGACAAAGAGTGGAAGCCAGGAAGTTTCAACATCGCTATCTTATGCCCCTTACAATGCAATCTATACAGAATCCCAGCGCAAGACTTTCTGAAGTCTTCCGCAAGAGAAACACAGGTGCTGACTCATGGCCAGATTCTGGGCGCCTGCCTATCTATCCTCGGCGGCATCCTCTATGGAAAAGCTCGCTCGCAAATTGAGCAGGAGGACGAAGACTCTTGCCTCGAAGTCTCGAGGGTTTAGGGTTTATAGTTTATTATTAGGGTTTAGAGTTTAGGGGTTTAGGGTTTAAGGGTTTAGGGTTTAGGGTTGAGGTGTTTCTGTTGCCGCTGTCTCGAACCATTGTATCTTCCACACTGACGTACGACGTTGTACCTACTTACATTTTTCTGAATGCAAACGCGAGTGTGATATGCTAATCATGGGGATGAAGACTTTCATCGGGATCATGACGGTCCGTGCCTGATGCAGCCTTGGTGGCAGAATAGCGATGGCGAGACAAAGAGTCGTCGGTTTGTTGTCGTGGTCGTGGTGGTTGTGGTTGCGCTTACTGTTGCGGTGGTGGTGGTGGTGGTGGTGGTGGTGGTGGTGGTGGTGGTGGTGGTGGTGGTGCTGCTGCGTCGCCTCCGTGGTCGTCAGCTGTGATGCTGCTTCGTGCGGTAATTGCTGGTGACTATGGCGATGAATACGACCGCAATAATGTCGTACCACAACCACCAGTGCGATGACGACAACCATCGCCGCTCCTTTACCTGCTCCTTGCTAGTGACTAATGGTGGTGAACATCAGAGCAAAAGAACGTAACGGTTTCATCTGTTACCTGCATCTATTGATGCTCGTTGTTCGTTCAATGGAAGCTTCTGCGGTCGGTTGACTGGAACGGTTAATTAGTCAGATTCCCCAGCACGACGACGATCAGCACCTTCCTGTAACGTCGCTTGTTGTCATTAACATATGATACATATGTTGTTGCTGACGGCTGCAAACGGTGGGCGGCGGCAGTGGTAGTGGGCGGGCACCGTTGTCGTTGGCATGGCTGCTTGCTTGTTTTGTTTGTTGTTTCTCTTGTTTGTTATGGCTAGCATGTCAGCCTCTTCTTCGCCACAAGATGCAAGACAGAAGCTAGATCACCATACTAAGGAGCGGAAGCAGCTGCTGCCTGACGCCAAGGTGGTGTAGATGTAGAAGTCTTGGTAGAGCTGCTGAACGGTGGCTAATGAGCTACCTGCAGATCCATGCCTGTCGACTCGTGCCCAGAGGGCCGACACAGTTGCCGAACGGCATTGGGAAAAGCAAACTACCCGCCGTCCTTCCTTCGGGGATGTCCACGTATGTCCGGAGTTGTTTAAAGTTTACGTCACTGACCACCAAGACCTGAAAAGGTAACGTTTTAATGTCCAGGATTTTGGGCTTGCATAGGACAACAGTGTTTAGGGGGTATCGCCCGGCCACCACGGCAAAAAAGCCACGTTAGGGTTTGCAAGTTGGTTCTTCCTCCAGCCACGTACTAGACAAACCAGAGTAAGTTGCTTGGGCAGGGCTTGCTCCAGTTTGGAAAAGCAGAAATTGCAAGGTTGAGGCTCGCATGAGAAAGGTATATAAAAGACGGACCAAGGTGCCCAAATCGGTGAGCGTGCGGCCGCAGATGGAAGCATGACGGGCTCGGTGTGGGCCACAGAGTGCTTTGGGTTGTGAATTCCCTGTGTATTTCCCTCTAAAACTCCATACAAACCGATCTAGACGCCTGTAAGACCCTACAACAACCCATAAACAAAAGGTGCGGGCCTTGAATCGGTCTCGCATGTTTCCGAGGTCACCTTTCTCAAGTGGCTTCCCGCCTTCTGCCGAAGTCGGGTGCCGCCCTTGACCCTGGAGTGGGGTTAGGTTTAATGATTCATATTCGCAGTTTACGTGTTTCAATGGAGTTCCATAGGGCAGTGTCGTTCCCGTGATGTCAGCTGCAGGTATCACCCCCCCGTAAACGGCCCTCGAACCGATAGGAATTCTTTAAGGCGGAGCTGTATCAGAGAGGCCCACAATTTCTGCAATATTTAGATCAATTTGAAGGCTTGCCTGACGAACTCATTACTAATCATCTTGCCCCGTAGTGTTCCTTCGTGTTCCTTCCTGTAGTTTATGTTCAAGAAAACAAGGCTAAGGCTTCTATATAAGGTTTAGGGTTTAGGGTTTAGAATGTAAATAGGCTCAACAAGCCAGAGTATGTAAGTGAAGAGTTCATTACTGATTGTAAGCCCCTTGGGGCGTTCTCCTCGAAACCCATAAACTAAAGCCCTAAAGCCTTAAATCCTAAACCCCTAAACCCTGAACCCCTAAGCCCCTAAACCCAAACCGCGGAAATAAACCCTAAACCCTAAAAGCCCCTATGGGGCCTTCTTCTCCAGTTTCGGATTCCAGGTTCCATGTTTTCAGTGTTACTGCAGTTGATGATATAAATCCTGCATCGCCCATACTAAAAATATGCAAAAATTCACATGGTTTAGGGTCCTTAAGGTACTGCAGGAGTTATATCATCAACAGTACTATGAGTATTGGGCATTTACATTATTGCTATTGTTGTTATGGGCGTTGTTGTTATTATGTTCTCCTTGTTCTTACTACTGTTGTTATTATGATGGTAATTATGGTTATTATTATCGTAATCGTTATCATTATTTCTATGACTATTATTAGTCTAATACTTGTATTACCATTATTATTATTATCATTATCATTATCAATACCATTATTATTGGTACTACTAATTTCGTCGTTATTAATACTGTTGTTATTGTTGTGATTATCTTTTTACTAAGCATAAGTATCACCATTGCTGTTGTTACCATGTTTATACTGCTAAGCTTCGCGCATGGAGCGCCCGCTTCTGTCTTCCCGTCGCAAATGAAACACCCAGAATTCACAGTCCAGGCTGAGTTGTTCTCGAGGGTTTGGGGGTTGAAGGGTTAGGGGTTCCGGGTTCAGAGATTCAGGGATGTAAAGTTTCAGCTTCAACACCACAGGACAAGAGAGCCTTGACATACTTCAGCTCCCTGAGGGATTAGGTTTTTATTTACATGCAAGGATTTCTGCCTTCGGGCTTCAAGTTGTTATCTCCTCTGAATGTGGAATAGGTATCGGGCGCTGTAGCTTTTGGAGTTCAGAGGTTCTGCTAGATCCTACAGTTTAGGGAGTTCGGGGCTTAGTAGCCCAAGCAGCCTATGCAGGTACATCGCGATGTTCATCATAGCTTGCAGGATACGCCTGTCAAATCCCTGCTTTGCGGCTTATCTAGGCACTGGATTGCAGAACGTTTTCAATTGTGTTGTCTGGTAGTCTGACCATAGGGTCCTGTCCGTACTTTATAGGTTATTTGCAGGTGGGTCAGTGGGGTCGGTGCTCGTTCGGACGATTTGTTGCTGTTTTGAGGGGCATTCAATGCCATTGGACGAACCTGCAAGTCTCGAAGCTTGGCAAATTAATATAGAAACCATAATGATTACCTTTACTATTTTGGGGCTTCCTTATTATAAATATAGCATACTGAATCCCCAAACCCAATTCTAATTATTAAGGCCCCTACATTAAGCTTAAATACAGCTGGGCCCCCGCTGCCCCTGAAGTTTCCTGGCGCCCACTTCGCCAAGACAGTCATATTCCGAGGCTGGATCTCGCAGAAAACACCTGCATTTCTGAGCTAGGCACGCAGTGCAGAAACCTAGATTCGTGAATGCTTGACCCGAAAAGCCTCCTCCTATAGAAACCCTACATTCTACTGTGTAGGTACGTATAACCCCTTGGGTGCCAGACACAGCAACAGACGAATCGTAAACGTCGCTTCGTCATCGCGTGTCTCACGGAGCGGGCAGCTCTTTTCCTTACTGCTTTAGGGTTTGGGTTTACGGTTTAGCGCAGCCAGGCTCCGAGACTGGATGTGATTGCTGTGGCTTACGATGCGGGAGCAAGATGGGAAGTTCTCTTAATAAGGGGTAGGGTCCGTTTTAGGGTCTTTTGTTACAGTATGGTACATATTTTCTAAAGGGTGCCGTACTGTTTCTCGGCACCGAAACATGTACAGGGACCCTAATTTTCAGAGCTACCCATAGACCCTCATGTAAACCCATATTCCCTAAAGAGAGGCCTCATCCAAAACACTGAGTCTGTCCCGATAGGAGTCTGATGGCTGCGCTCTGTGGAAGCTCATCAACAAGGTCGGGCCGTGCTGCGGTTTGGGGTTGTAGGTTGTGGGATATGGATTTGGGTGAAGGGCTTTGTGGTTTAGGTTTCCGGATATTTGTGTTTAGTGCTTTACGGTTTCAGTGTGGCCGAAGCGGGCCGAGACTGCTAGTCTTGGAGCAGTGCCTTTAGCGGGTCATGGGCTCACGGTTAGAAACCTGAAACCCTAAACCCCAAACCCAAAGCTTAGACCCTGAGCTCTACAACCTGAATTAGACCCAGTAACTCCATTTTGAACCTTACTTCATCAACCCTAGAATTCCCCCTGAACCCTGAACCTTCATGAACTCTTAACCCTACGATCCCTTTGTTATCCATCCTAGGTGCGCGAGCAGCGGGTGGCCGGCTTGAAAGCTGAGCCGGAGTCCTCCAATGCCAAGGCCAGAGCAAAAAGTCCTCAATCCCTGGACCTACTGCTGAAAGCATACCCTAAACCCTAAACCCTAAACCCTAAACCATCTTAAGCCCCAGACTCCCTGAAGGTTTCGGGCTTAAGGCTCTAGGGGTTTAGGGTTTATAAGGTCCCCGGCGGAGTCGCAACAGGCCAGTTGCAAAAGGGTTAAGGTTTTAGGGTTGTAGGGTTCAGGGTTAAGGGTTTAGGGTTTAGGGTTTCTATACATCCTAGAAGACAAGTGGATTTGACCCATTGCAGGTGGGTCATCTGACGGCCGGCGTCCTAGTGTCTTGATTTCCGTCGTACCCGGAGACCTGCTTCCTCGGTAAACCAGTGATCGACGGCTTTTTGAGAGTGCTTCAGTGGCGTTCACCGTCGTGGCGAGCGAAGTTCACGTCTGCGGAGTGGCGGGTGCAGTCCCTGAATAAATCATTGTTGATCTGGTTTTCTTCGTACATGTAGCTACAACCTGCAGACTAACCTAGTATCTCAGCTTGCCGCAAGCCAAAAGTTCGGACTGCGATGCAATATTCCAAACAAGAATTTCTGGTGATGGGCTGTGTACAGCTCTTAATCTTACCTGATGACATTTCCTCATGACACGCTCACATGTCATATCGCACTCCGTGTAACACTCCGCTTTTGGGCTCTGATGTTGCCTGCGGTCCTAAGCCCTACCTGTAACTCTCTTTACAGTTTAGCAGCCATTGCCCCTTACTTAGTAAGTAGAACCATAAAACTGTAGGTAGCTCGAGTCCCAGGTAGCCTGCAGAATCCCAGCCCTAAAACCCAACGCCATGAAGCCCACAAGCATCTCATACCCGAACTCTGAACCGAACGGAAACGAGCTTGTTAAAACTCCCGAAACTTAAAGCTTTAAAGCCCTAGAGCCTTAAGTTCATGCAAGCAGAAACTCTACTAACTTACCCACTAGCCACTGCAGCTCTGAAGCCCGACAGCATTAAACTCTCGTATTCCCCTAACCCTTAAGCCCAAGCCTAGAACCCGAACCGATCGCCTCAAGCCCTCAACCCTGGGCCCTTAAACCCTAAACCCTAAACCCTAAACCCTAAACCCTGAACCCTAAACCCTAAACCCTAAACCCTAAACCCTAAACCCAAGCCCAAGGTTAGTGAAGGGCTGAGTCCGGCAGAGACCGCCGCCACACGAGAGGCTTCGGGTTTGGGGTTTAGGGTTACTCCGGCTCGGGATCCTCTTATAGGGCTCCATAGGTAGGGTTGAAGGGTTTAGGTGTTTGGGTTTTAGGGTTACAAAGAGGTTTTGTAGGGTTTTTCCTCTGGGATTTATAGGGGTTTAGGCTTTAGGGTCGTCGGGTTTCTGTCTTTTCGGTGTGGTGTTAAAGCCCTTCACAGTGCATTGGGTTACTTTGCATCATATTACCGTACGCCGCTTTGCCTTACACTGCCTTACTGCATGGCCTCATTACCTTCTTCGTCCTTACCTTAGTTACTGTACCGGCATGACCATACATTGCCCTACGTGTTACATTACGCTTGACTTCGAGGTCTTGCATTGCATATACATACACCAAAATTTACGCACATACATACATACATACATACATACATACATACATACATACATGCATGCATACATGCATACATGCATACATGCATACATGCATACATGCATACATGCATACATGCATACATGCCCTCGCACGCGCACAGATCTGACATTTGCCAGCCCTGAGTTCCTAACATTCCTACACGGCCTGCCGTCTCCCTTACTGCATGCCGCCCTCTGGCCCAAGACGCTGGGCTTACCGGAGCAAGCCCCACCTGGGCCACTAAGGAACCCTAAAGCCCTCGTTCAAGTTCATCGCATCATCTTTATATGTGTTCCCGGTAGGGAAACCCTACACACTAACCCCTAAATTTGGCCGTTTTTCCCAAACCCTAAACCTCTAAACCCTAAATTAGGCCTCAGATCCTAAATCCTACACCTCTAAACCCTCGAGCCCGAGCCTCCAAAAAAGGGCGGTCGCCTTGTGGCACTTAGGCCCTAGATCCTGAACCCTAAAACCTTATAGGCGAAAAACTTCTAGATCCTGTAGATGCCTATAGATCGAGTATGAGCTTGTAGAACCTTTCTAGATCCCTGGTGGCGCCCTAAACCCTAAACCTTAAACCCTAAACCCGAAAGGCACCCTAAACCGTGTAGAGCCCGTAGAGCCCCGAAAAGAGCCCTAAAGCACTACCGATGGCATGCGGCAGATTCTGCTCCGCACCGGTCTCGGAGGTCTCAAGTCGAGTCTGAAGGTTGACCCCTAAACCCTAAACCCTCAACCCTAAACCTAAACCCTCAACCCTAAACCCTAAACCCTAAACCCTAAACCCTGTACCCTAAACCCTCAACCCTAAACCCTGAACCCTATACCCTAAACCCTATACCCTCAACCCTAAACCCTA